AAAAAAGAGTTGATTTGAGCCAAAGTCATACTTGTGTTTTTTGGCAAATAGCTTAGTGCCGCGCATACACTCGAGCACCAATCAGAGGCATATAATGTGGTTCTTTACATCCCATTTCCTCGGTCCGGCGTGGCTATGTCAAAATTGGTTTGTTCATAACCTAAATGCGGCCTGAACAGCTGTGCCGCCAGACAATTGTGTCACTTGCACATTTGACAGTCCCTGTGGCATAATCGGTCCATCCAAGGAAGAAACTACCACTGTGAAAGGATATCGCTGACGCCACCATTGGTGACCTTACTACCTCTCGAATCCCTAAACATACCACCAAGGACAAATCTTCGAGCTGCATAACAGCTACTGCCAGAGTAGCGCGGAAAGGATCACAATATTTTTACTCCCGCGGTCGCTCCGCCCACGAGTAATTTTTTTTGCTTCTGCCTGGTGGAACTTCGCCACCCCGCATGTTGAGCCCTTCATCCAGTTGTGCAGTCCAGTAATACCGCCATATCGTGCTTAAGATGAATTATTTATCTATTTTTTCAGGTCTCACCCTTTAACTCGCGACTGACATTTGCCCGTGAATTTACCGTCCAGGCACAAAAGAGTGCGACTCCCAGTCCATTCCATACCTCACGACCCTAACGCATAAAACCGTGCACACCATTTTTACCGTCCCGCCAGATTTATACTCTGGCGACCAAGACATTGAGTCGCCCCTTTCCTTATCAACAACGATATATTCGAAATGCAGTGACAAACAGTTGGTCGACTCTTACTTTTCCCGAGACGTAAACTCCCTGTTGCTTCTGTCTTCCGAGCTCTGCTCCAGGCATTGCCAAAGCTAGCAACCGTCCCCGGGCAAGCGATCACCTATTTAAAACTTTATCGCATGACTCGGTTGTCAGTTTGACGACAATCATCATCAAGTGCAAGAGGGATGTTGCACAGACGCAGCTTTGACTTAAAGAGTCCGCGTATACAGCGCACAGAGGTTGGGTTCGTACGCTCTACCCTGAATCAGAACCGAGAGCCTTTTAAGAAACCTCGTGTAAAGTTTGCTCTGCTATTTCACGAGTGACTTATTTTATGATGATCTCTGTTTAAATTAATCTATTCTACTACACAATGAAACTTATAATTTTAATGCGCTAACAGCCCACACAAAACAAGTCCTCTCTTTACAATATAACAGCTGTGCAACCTGATAAAGTTCTATCTTTCAAGCGGTGAAAAGTAATACAGATGCTTCGATCTCGTGAGCATGTATAATGGAATTTTACATTTCATTGGACTTTTTTTGACATCTTCAAAAAGAGTGCATTTGTAACGTGCGCGTACACAATAGTGTTGTACATATCTCGAAAATATAAAAAGTGCGAGCGCGATACGGTATAGTGGTGTAATATCATAACCTTGATTTGAGCTGATCTTACTAACGCTTCTTCACGGTTCATATGTAAAATGTGCCACAGAAATTCCGTTGCAATGAAACACACTTACGCAACATCATGACACGTCGCTTTTGTGTTGACTGCGTGCGAGATTCTCCTATCTAGCAACATTCTACCTTGGCGAGTAGTACTAATGTGCCATCTGTAATAGTACCACTGCTGACCAAATTTTTCTCTTTTTTTTTCAAGCGCATCAAGCCAAATCTGGCCACTTAATTGTAGAGAGCTCCAACATTAGAAAGCAGCACACTCGAGATAAATCGTTATCAAAACTACCTCTACTCGACGGAGGACCTTCCAACATTTAGTGCAGTAGGAATTTCGAGAAGAAAGGGTAATCAAAAGTAAATGCACTCCACCGCATAGCGCCTTCTCCCGTGTTGATCCGAAACGCCAGACAATAAAGGCAAAGCGGTGAACCCATTAGCAAAGATATTACGGTTTCGTTGTTTTTTGTGGTCGCGAAGTTGTGAGGTTTCCGTCAGGGTATTGTGATGATCGAACTCCATAACTCGTCGCTCTAGTTTCACTTACCAATGTTGTACATGACGTCTTTACCGGTGCCCTTTTCACAAGGTAGAACGCGAAGTACTGTTGCAAATCCTCGTCTGTTGGTTAGCTTATGTAGTTGATGCAACTTGCACTCCTCGGCTGAGAGAGTTTGCTTGGTGGTGTATTTGTTGTTTGTGTATATATTGGTGATGGCTGAATGTAACAGAAAAACAAATGATTATTGCGTACAGAACTGACGTCTCATTCATGCTTGCATTAATGTTTGCTGAAAAAAAATTGAAGTAGCACTACTAAATAATCGTAAGCTTTATAAAAGGTTCAGCAAAGATACCGAATACCAAGCGTATCAGCTAATATCGATGTCAATTACGCTGCAATAGCGAGTTTCATCGCTGATTTGTGTGTGCTGACTCGTTAGCGGGCATTCTGAGCGTTTCGACTCAGCAGAACACTTGATAATAGTCTGCATTAAGAGTATCTTGACTTTTGGATAGCGTGCCTTGTCTCCGACTCTGGATAGCACACCGCCGAATTGTTGAGGCGACAAAAGGCTTGATCAACGATGCTAAGACGTCGCTACTTTATGTCCGCTAAAAGTCGACGGTGGTACGTAAATTTTCGATTGACGAGGCATTGATAATATGCACCACACATTTAATAATATGCGACAAACTTGATAACGGTCATTCACGCGTAGGTAGGTAGGTACACGATAGTGACACTTTATCTTATCCCGTAACTTTTGGTACCACCGAAGTCTATTCACGAAGCAGAAACGGTCATCTACTTAACTACCAATCTAACGTGTGCTTTGGATACGAGAACCACGTCAAAAACGAGGCTTGGGTGGTAAGAGTTGCGAGGGGTGCTATCACGCATACAGTCGACTCATTAACATTAGCAATGTTATGCGGCGTCTGCGCCGTTGCATGCAACAGTGCGATTTCAATTATATCGTTAAAATTCTCAATGTATACTGTATGGGAAGATTACCCTTATTGAGGAGTTAGAGATACAATATAGAGCTCAGACTACTTACAGTGGTCCACACTTCAGACGTCGTCACGCCGTTTTCTGGCAGATCCACGCCAAGAGCAACGATGCTGCGTCAGTCATCGTGACCAGCTCGCATTTCTAAGAGCCGTTGTACTTTTCGTCGAGTCAGTATATGACTCTTGAAACATGTATATCTATCGACACAGCCGCCATAGAGTCGAACCATTCGCCACGCTAAGGCACGTCAACACATCAAGTTGCTTCAGTAGTCCACCCTTTGCAAACTAAGTCCACATACAGTCGACAAGTCTAAAAACTGGCCCGATTTCGTACTTAAGCGATTTCACCTACTTTTTCCTTGTGTCAGTAATAAATAAGTTGCCAACCTGGTACTCTGCCTTGCTGATTGCCATGTCCAGTAGCAGCGGTAGCGTTGAGAGCCACATCACAGACGAAGAATATGGCATTATTGGACTACTTTATGCAAAACTGGTGGCGCAGGTTTTATCAACGCTTATGAGCGCCTTCGTAGGTACACGCCACGTGATGCAAGTCGTGGCTTTAAAGAAAGAGATACGTGCTCGACGCCAATTGCAGACGCCTATGCTAGCAGCTGCTGTTCATCGACTACAAAGCTGTGACGGAAGCGTTCCTACACCTCCTTCGCTGATGCATGTGACAGATGGCGTGCAATATTCCAGCCGGCAGAGCACCAGTGGTACACACTCCAGCGTATCGGATGAATACAGACGCAATCGCGAGGCTTCTTTTCTAGTTCGAGAGCGAGAAAATGCTCTGTACGCACCAATGGGTGGGCCAGATCTAATGACCAACGAGTGCGACGACGACCGACCCCGAGTGTCAGTGGCTTCAAGAATTTTACGCGTTATGTGTATTACCGACTTTGTCTTTTCGCTCACAGGTGCGGTTGTGACAGCCGTAGAAATCTGGTTACCCAGTGCAGGAGGCAGTTTTCAACTTACACTTTGGGCTCAAGCTCCACATTGGTGCTCACAGGTCGCTAGTTTTTGTTGGGTTGCTACCCTGGCACTTTACATTGCCAAGCATCGAAATCGAGCAAGTTTTGATGTGGCTATCGCTCACGCAATTATCTGGATGGTAGTTGTATTTTACTGGGTGCTTGAGCTCTATTCGAGCTACTACGAAACCAAGGCTTTTGTTCATGCCGCGATTGTCATCTGGAAAGTCATGGCTGTCGGCTGCTTTCTCATCACCACATTTTGCTGGATCAATTTCGCACGACGGTGGAAACAACAGGAACGAAGAAAAGGTGCTTACGTTGTGTCCAAGCTGGCGTCTTATACTTTGGCATTCTTCGTCTTTGTAGGTCCTATTGTACTGACAGACTTGGTCCTTGGACTTCACAGCTCAGGTGTTGTCATGGACACATGCTCCGTAATTTTAGCCATGTGGCCCTTTGTGAATGCAGTCATTTACCTCACCAAACCCACATTATGTCTGAAGCTCTTTCAGGCAGGGCCAAGCCGCAAAAATCCTCGCGGACAGTATGATTCCGCCGATCCACAAAACGGTAATGGCCACAATCGACCCAAAAGTCGACGCTTTATGGGTGCAGCCAATGGCACTGCTAACCCTGTAAATGGAGGTGGAACCACGGGGGACAGTGGGCAGAAACTCCTCATGTCGCCTTCGCATCATGAACTGAAGGGCCTAGAGATTGGTGATAAAATTGGTGAAGGAGTGGCCGTAGTGTACCTCGGTAAGTGGCGTGGCGCGAATGTCGCTGTTAAGATGAAGGCGGTTTTGGCTGCATTAGAGAGTGCGGCGGATGTTGTTGAATTCCAACACGCATGCAACGTTGAGATCCAGGCCGAAGCGGAAGTCATGCGCGGTTTGTGCCACCCAAATATTGTGCTTTTTATGGAAGCGGGATTTTATCGAGGGTCTATTTGTATTATATCTGAGTATTGCGCTCGTGGGTCCTTACGCGATGTACTGAAACAACAGACACCAGATGTCAAAAATCTTACTTGGCCGACAAAATTGCGTCTGGCACTGGGAATTTCACATGGAATCCAGTATCTGCATAATGCTAATCCGCCTATGATCCATCGAGACTTAAAGTCGCCGAATGTACTTGTAGACGACTCATGGCACGCTAAAATTGCGGACTTTGGTACTCTACGCTTTTCCGAGATCGTATCGTCGGCAGCGCAGCTCCAGGCATCGCAGATCAACCCCAAGAGCTCCGCTAAAGTTCCGGTTGTCGAGATGACCGGGCTTGTGGGTACGACGCGCTGGATGGCTCCTGAGGTGATGCGTGGTGAACGAATCTACACAAGCAAGGTGGACATTTATAGTCTCGCCCTCATACTGTGGGAACTCATTGAAGGCACGTTGCCATTTGAAAATACGCGATGGAACCACGAGGTAGAGGACTTTGTACTGCAAGGTGTGCGTCCCACCATCCGTGCTGATCTGTGCCCACTGCGTTGGAAATCGTTAATTGTGATGTGCTGGCAAGCGGACCCACATGAACGACCTACTATTCAGCAGGTTATCGCCAGCCTTCAGAAAATTGGGCGCGAGGAAGTGTGGGATCCGACAGGCCCTCGATTTACCGGTGTGAGTCAGCTGGGCACGTCCATGTACTCAACAATGTCGCAGTCAATGTCGCAGTCCATGTCGTCATCATACCACGGATCACCGACAAATGCAGGACCAATTGGCCGCAACTTTAGTCGACACCCTGCACTTGACGAGAACCATCCAAGCGAGCTTGTCTCGGAAACTGATACGTTTGCTGAAGAATTTTCATACGTTCCGACGCTTGAGTCACTCTCGTCTCCGGTCGTTTTAGGTGAATCCGATAATGGTATCACCAAGAGGTCCAAGCGGCCACCTCTGACTTCCCACGATGGCTCTATGGACTCTTCCGCTAGCAGCAGCATGACAAGCACAGGTATGAAAGACAGTAGCTACTATGGTGCGAGCATCGCCGGGTTTGACCCAGGCGCGGATTCTCTTAGCGTTGCCACCGTTCATAGCAGATCAAATGTAAACAGAAGCGGTAGGTCTATGAGCTCTCGAACGCGTAAAACCAAGAAAAGTCATCTCGATTGGCGACATCGCGCGATCACAATTCAAGAATTACAGTCAACGGATCTGACTGATGCATCACCCCACACATTTGTTGAGTCTTCGCCGAATGGGACTTCGTTTATCGTCAATATTTAACCGTTCACGTACAAGCTATGGGAACTAGGTGTAAAGCATATGACCTAACTAGCCTATAGCGGTTATTGCTAGTGTCGTAGTATTTAGTGCTCTTTACGTATTATGTTACATCCTTCGGTCACCAGTTATTTTCTCTTTTTCTTGCCACCGCCTTTTTTACCTTTCTTTATACTTCCAGTTCTATGTGAGCGATTGAGCTGCAGAAAAAGATTCTTGGGGAGTGAAGCATCGACCAAAAAAGATTGAAGCTGTGTGTTTTCCTAAAATATGCAAGATATTAGAAGAAAAGCAGAATCAAACGAAACACTTACAGGTGCAAGAGCGGGCAGTAAGATGCTGGCACCCTCAGGTTCGATTAAATTAAAGGTGAAGTCAACATGAGCCAAAGATTTGCATCGAATAAGAGCGTCTCGGAAAGCTGATAGCGCCTCAATATTCTGTGTGGAGCAACCTTACGTCAATTCTCAGGAAATTTAATCCACAAGTGATAAAATACATACATACATTTCGTATGCCGTTGTCTGACAAGTTGAGCTTTACCAGTCTTTGAGCACGTCCGAGTCCGAGCGAAAGGTGGTGCAGTCCACTATTTCCAATATTATTGCCATTCAATGACAATACTTCGATCGCACACGTTGGCAAGCTGATCAGCTGTGCAAGTTTAAAGCAGCTGCCTTGACCGATAGCACAATAATCAAGATGGAGTTGCTGCATATCGACATAAATAATCGTGACGTATTGTGGCGAAGGCGAGCTCTTTCAATGATAAGGAAAGCTCACCTTTAATATGTTGTTGATGAAAAGCCCGTCGACAAGCACGCTAAAGCCTGCATCGCCAATGTCAAGATTGTAGTCAAGATTTAAGGTTAACAAGCCGGGTGCTTTTTGTCGCGTTAACACTTCAGCTAGCGCTTTGCATCCATTCTCTCCAATGCCACAATCCAGCAACTCTAGGTACGAGATTTTAATACCTGAATTTGGTTGCAGCACACTTGCCTGAATTTTTTCTGTCAATGACCATACGAGTTAAAATGTGGACGATTAAGCATACGTACAAATGCCGCGGCACCCTCATTTCCGATGTTCTGCTTCCATATTCGAATGTATCGAAGTTGAGTATATGGTCCATTTGTGAATCCTGGGCCTATGCCGTGAACATGCTACCGTCAAGGAATTTCACTACCAAAGGTGTTATAATAATCGAATGACTATTATGGAAAGGATATCATGATAGCCAAAGCAAGGGCTCGAATGCCTCCTGGCCCGAGCGTTCCAATGCCTTCACCTTCTAGTATGAGCTAAAGGGCTTCAAATTAATCGCAAAGGCTTGATAATGTTTTCGCACTCACATTAATGAGCTCTTCGTCGTCCTCCTTGCCGCGTAATATATCGCTTACATGTGAATTTACATGCACACCGATAGCTCTAAACATCAATAGGAAGTAAGGTTGATCACATTAAGAGCAAGTTTATAAATCTCACCTACAAGCTTTCCCGTAATTTGTCGCGATGATTGGACGCGTCACGGCATATTCATCTGTTGTCACTGTCTTAAGCTTAGTCTTCGTATTCGGCTTGGTCACCTTACTCATGGTTCCACTTGTACAGGAAGCGACTTGCCAAATGTAGCCATATCTATTACAGTGTAACGACGCTAAAATAATAAAATATTGATTATCGCATGATACGAATCGTACTAAATTTGATTGAGTCGTGAGTATGGCACCTCTTGAAGGCTGGACACCCGCGATTCCTGTAATCATTGCCGCCAATCGCCTTCCCGTCCGGCTGTCCAAGACAAGCGATAATCAGTGGCACGTCGAATGGGCTGGAGATCGTATGCTCGAGTCGCAAAATACACTATCGCACCATGAAATCGCAGAACGCGCTCGAATAAAATTTGTAGGTCGCGTGGCCGACGTAGACGTACCGTTTGAAGATCGGGAACAAGTGGAGCAACTTTTGCAAAGCCTCAATTGCTATCCAGTATTTTTAGATCCCCAAGAGGCCAAATTGTATTATGAAGATTACTGCAAACAGACTCTTTGGCCTACGCTTCACAATGTTGTCGACGTGTACAGTCCTGTAGACGTAGTACTTGATATCCAGGAACAACAGCGCCTGACAGCTACAGCACAATTTTGGAATCCAGGCTGGCAAAAAGTCGCTTGGCAGGCATATGCCAATGTGAACCAGTTGTTTGCACACAAAATTTGTGAGCTATACGAACAAGGAGATGTCGTGTGGGTACATGATTATCACTTGCTTTTAACCCCGAGTTACATCGTCAGAAAAGTCAGAGCTGCAAATGTTGGATTGTTCCTTCACGTACCGTTTCCGTCGTCTGAAGTCTTTCGAACTTTGTCCATGAGAAAGGAACTTTTGCGCGGCATGTTAAATGCCGATCATATTGGCTTTCATTTGTACGAGTACGCTAGACATTTTATGTCAGCGTGTCGACGTATCTTAGGCCTTAGTTACAAACCTGTTTTGAGAGGACAATTGGGCATAGACTATGGAGGACGACGAGTTGCTGTTACTTGTAGTCACATGGCCATTGATCTCCAAAGTATTGAAGAGACACTGGCTACTCAAAATGTACGTGATATGGTCGTGACTCTACACCAAAAGTACCGTGACAAAAAGATTTTTGCGGGCTGTGACACGATTGAGAGGTTGAAAGGCATTCCGTCCAAGATGTTGGCATTTGACGGATTTCTATCAAGATGTCCAGATTTTATCGGAAAAGTTTTACTCGTGCAAAAAGGAATACATCCTCGCGGTCGTGTGATGGATTATTTACAGAGCAAAAAGGAAATTGAATTGGCTGTGCAAGCGATCAATAACAAATATCGCGACGTCGCAAAAGGTGATGTGATCGACTATGAAGAAGTGGACGAGTTTCCTTTTAACGAGCGCTTGGCACTTTGGCGTGTGGCCAATGTGCAGATAACAACAGTGCTGCGAGACGGACTTAACACAACGCCATTCGAATTTATTGCCACACACAAGTACGACAGCTACCTCATTGGATTTAGGGTAATGCTGACGTTGCCACTGTGTCTTTCTGGTCGTATGTAGATCGTCGCCCGGTGTCCTGATCATGAGTGAGTTTTCGGGAAGTAGTCGCATGTTAAGTGGTGCTTTGACTGTGAATCCGTGGGAGTTAGACCAGGTGATTGACGCTCTCCGAGATGCCATGTATATGCCTGCGATTGAACGCGAGCACCGAAGAAATTGTGATTTTCAGTTTGTTACAGCAAATCCTCCGCGTCGCTGGGCTAAGTGCGTCTTAACAGATATTGTTAGCGCGCGTAAGAAGGAAGAATCATTCGTTTATATGGGTACAGGATTTGGTCTGGATTTTCGACTAGTGGAAGTCAGCGCACGATTTCGGGTATGTTGACGTATTTGACTAGATAAACCAAGAAGAATGGCGAGCAATGACCAGAAACTATTGTGCTTTAAATGCAGAAACTCACCGGACAAGAACTTGCTCCGGCCTATAGAGCAAGTACGAATCGTGCAATCTTTCTAGATTACTATCGAACGCTAGCTCCAGACACATCGACAATGATAGGTGTACGATGGCCTGATGTACCATTGAGCGCTTTATCTACACTGGAACAGCTCTGTAAAGATCCTCGTAGCACAGTATTTATCGTGAGTGGCTGTAGTTGTGACCTGCTCACACAGAAGTTTGGTGGGGTCCCAGGCTTAGGACTTGTGGCAGAGCACGGATACTTTATTCGACGTGCAGTATTAGGGAATGATGCCCGAATCGGACGTCCGTGGGAGCGGCATGGGGATCTTCTGCAGGCAGAAGGAGGTCACCAGCAGTGGCGCGTCAAAGCAGAAAAGATAATGCAGCTATACGTTGATCGCACAAATGGATCCGCATTAGAATTTCGGAGAAGTGCTGTGCTGTTCCGCTATGGCAAGTCCGACTTTGATTTTGGTAAACTGCAGGCAGCGGAGCTTAGAGAACATCTGGAGGGCGTCTTTGAGGTATGTAAACGAATACGACAGCTGCATTTGATGGGGTAATCTAAATTGCTACTCAATAGGGCTGGCCGCTGAACGTAATTCAAGGCAAAGATTATATAGAAGTACGACCTGAGGGAGTTGGCAAGGGAAAATTGGTCGGTCACTTGCTGGAAAAGATGCATACCGATGGAAAACCAGCGGATTTTGTGCTTTGTATTGGAGACGACGTGGCCGATGAGTTAATGTTTGAACAGCTGAAGACAATGGTTGCTAATCAAAAGCTCCCGCAAGGTGAGATGATCAACTGAAGATGGGGCTGACTAAACACTGACGTATTAAATTGCAGATAAGGTATTCACGTGCACTGTGGGTCAAAAGCCTTCAAAGGCCGAGTTCTTTGTTGATGACTACACTGACGTTATTGAGTTATTGACGTCACTCAAAGTTGTCGCTACAAAGGTAGCAAAATTCTTGGCTGGACAACCGCCTCATGACACGCCTTACCGCTTTTGTGTATGTGTTGGTGTTTAGTCCAATCGCAATTATTCGCTGTCAGATATGCAGTCTTTCGTGCGAGATACACGGCCGTTTTTATCGTCGCGTGCCAACACTGGAGCATCAAGAAGCACAATGTCAAACATGGCGATGCGAAGGTCTGCAAGTCGGCACGGACTGTTTAGTCATTTGTAAGTGTAGACTTTATTAAAATCTTTTGAGGCTGTGTTCATTAAACTACAATTGCATACAGAACGCCTGTGATTGAGGATCAAATTGTGCCAACTGATGGCGGTGAAAGCGAAACAAAGCAGCAAGCATCAAATCGACACAAAATTACATGGCTTAAACGCTTACAGCAGTTTGGTGCAGCCGCCATCGTTGTCGGAATATTTCGATGGCGCAGCAGGTCAAGGAATTCTAAGGATAAAAAGTTATTATTGTATCTGGTGGTGTCATTTGGAATTGCGTGGTCAATTCAGCGTGCGCGATCAAAAGCACACAAGCAAATGGCCTGTTAGTTTAGAAAATCATGTTTTGCAGTAATATATTGAGCAGTGTGATATTCGACAGCTTCTTTCTATGCGCGACTGTCAAAAGGTTTTGTGCTTTGCCCTTCAGACAGTAATGCCATTTTCGGTGCCCCATTTCTTCATGATACGCACAATGTACTCGACCTGCGGGTTGTTGTTTGTCTTTAAAATGCTAATTACTTCCTCAAGCTCCACTCGAGATGCTTTACCTGCTACTGCGCGCTGAAAAACACCAACGCAGGCCCCACGCTTCCCTTCCCAATACTCTGGATCCGGGTCGAGCCGCTCAAGAATGTCGAAAGCTTTAGCAGAATAAAGAAATTCGCCCATTTTGTAGCAGTCGTGAGCAATGAGTTGAAGCAGGTTGAACGAGTCGTCCGAGTTGTCAAGTTTGAGGTACAAGTCCCAAGCCGCGGACGGGTTGTGATTAAGGATGTAGCATCTTGTAAGCCAGCTCACGTAGCAGTAGTCCTGGCGATAGTCTTCCCGTTGTACGCGTAAAAGCGTCTCCAGTGCTTCTTGGTGCGATCCTGTATTGCAGAGCGCAATCCCAAAATTCCAGTTAAAATCGTCTTCATTGTATAGGTACTGCTTAATCGAGTTGAGGTAAATGTTGACGTCTTCAAACTGTTTTAGTAAATAAAAGCACGAAGCCATGCACTGTCGTCCAGGAATCGTATCGCATTCAGTGGGTGAGGACCCTACAAGCTGGAAATACTGCTGTGCTGTCTTGATGTGCTGACGCGACAACATTGACTGGCCCAATGTAGCATGTACAACGCCTTTGAGAATGTATTCCTGAGGAGTGGATGGCTCGATATCCTTGATAAGGTCATATGCGTCTTGGAGCTTGTCGTTTTTAAGATAGTACACTACTAAGTTTAGTCGAGCTTCGGGCAGAGCATCGACAAACTGCGGGAGCACTCTCAGCGCATTCTGTCCGTCCTCAAAGACCACCATATTGTGGCTCAAAAGGTCATTCTGTTCAATGTTATAGCCTCGATCAGTCAATGCTTTGACCTCATCCTTGGCCGCTGCCCCGTTATACAACTTAAATTGATTACATGCTTTGACGTTTACTGCCACGACACTATCGGGAAAAGCATGTAAATAAGCTTGCATGATCTCCAAGGATACGTCATAGTAGTCGAGCTTGTAGTAGCACATGGCCACGTAGACATTGAGTGCAATATCATCTCGGTTCTCGAGCAATAGTCGCTTGTAAATGTCTGTGGCTTCCTGGAAATGGTTCCGAAAGTAGTGGATAGCTGCAAGTGACAATTGGTCCTCTTTTGAGTCAGTTAGCTGCTGATGATAAGCGAGCAATTTATCTTCATCACCCAGTTTGTGTGCACAATGAAAGAGTAAACGATTCAGTAGTGGCCCCGCGGGTCCTTTTTCGGCCTCTTCCGCTGCCTCCTTGTACATTTGCAGGTAAAAGAGGCAGCAAGCTCGGTAGAGAAAAATCTCGGGTGTGTCATCCACGTCTCTTAGCAGAGCATAAGCATCTAGTGCGCGCTGGTAATTACCGAGATGAAAAGACGCGTATGCGAGCCACAACAGCGTTTTGCGCTTTTCTTCCACCTTGGCTGGCCCGGTCATTGCCGCGGCATCGTCGCTCTTTAGATTAAACTCGAGAATGGCAGAAGCGCCAGTAAAGTCCCTCTTGGCAACACATTCTTCCACAGTCGGGCCTTTCTTGGTCTTGACGCGCGCAATCTCTTGCGCTTTGGCACGCTGCGTCTGCTTGGGCTTGGCCACATACATGTTGTAGAGCAATTACATCGCTTCAAGATCGCACAGAGTTAAGTATATTACATAACTGCTGCACTCTCTACACCAATAAGTGAATTTCATTTTTTCATTCGTGGAGGATTTCCGTGATAAAGTATGGGACGCCGCGATGAAGAGGGTGAGTCAAGCCGTCGTCATGGACGTCATAGAGCATCTTTGAGTCCGACCCGTGGTGTGGATCATGAAGAGGCTATTCGCAACAAACTTCGTGAATCCGGATGGAAAAAGCGGCGCATGATGAGCGATAGCATGGCGGACGCGGAGACTTCCAAGGATTACGACAAGGCCAAGGACCGGGCTGATCCAGGGTCCCCGCGGACTATCGATGAACGTCGAAGTGCTAAAGGGATGCGAATCTCACGACGCTCACGTTCTTCGCGTCGGCGTGACCGGGAGCACCGCACCTCACGCAGAAAATCATCTGGTAGCAGACGCCGGTCACCGTCTCGTTCTCCAGCATCGCGCTCTCACTCGCGATCAAGATCCACGAGTCGGCGACACCGACGCCATATATCGTCATCGAAGAAACATCGTTCGTCACGCTCGCCGTCACACGTATTGGAATCAAAGCGGTCGCGACGTGGATCCAGCAGGTCCCCGTCTACGTCTTTGAGCAACAAGAAAAAGACCCTCTTGGAAGATGAAAAGCGCGAAGCAATGAAAGTTGATGAAATGGAGTCTGAGAGTGGTGGTGATGTGGACATGAAGACGATGAGAAAAAAAGATGGCGGCGCGAAAAAAGAGATCGAAGAAAAGAACGAAGACCGTTATCGATCCAGGAAAAGCAGTCGCCGGTCAAGATCAGGATCTCCACGCTCTCCTTCGCGGCCGTCTAGACGCCGACGCCATCGTCGCAGCTCGTACTCGCGTTCGCATTCCCCGTCTCGTAGCCATCGCGCCCGACATGGTGGTTCACGTTCACGTTCACGGTCCCCTCCTCGGGACAGGCGGCCGCGCGGACGTGATCGCGACCGTCGCAGTCGTCGCAGAGGTCGTAGCTACAGTAACAGCCCCAGCTACACTCATCGTCACCGTCGCACTGATCGTTCCAGCTCGCGCGACCGTCTGCGGCACGATGGTAAGCCCCCAGCAGAAATTTCAACTGCTTCTGCCGATGTCGTTGCTTCTAATACTACAGCAACTTCTCCAACTGCTCCAACTGCGAATGTGAATCCGACGATTACGCAATTGATGGCCCAGTATCCGACTATGAGTCTTCAGGATATTATTGCCAAAATGCAGGCTTCAAACGTGACGATGGCTGCCGCAGTAGCCCAAAAGCCGGCGCGTGAGCTTTACGTGGGCAACTTGCCTCCCAGCGTTACCGGTCCGCAGCTTCAGGAGTTTTTAAGCACAATTATTCAGCAGGTCGGGCTTACGACAAAGCCTGGAAACCCGATTGTCAATACTTGGATTTCAACGGACGGTCATTTTGCTTTTTGCGAAATGCGCTCAGTTGAAGAATGTAACCTAGCACTGCTGCTGAATCAGCTGTCACTGCTTGGCCAACCTTTAAAGTTTGGGCGACCGCGTAGTTTTATGGGACCACCTCAACCGATGCCCCAGGTCTCGGCGCGTACGCAGACTGCTCTGACAAATTTGGGCTGCACACCGAATCCAGCCTGGTTCGCTCAGCCTGTGCTACCAGGCAGCATGGAAGTGACTACTACGGAGTCGACATTGGCGGAAGCGACTTTGTCTGCAATCGCTGCGGCTCAGTCGGCTTCTGCTTCTGGGGCCGGCTCGGAACATCGTCTCATCATGTCAAACATTCCAGTCGTCCTAACGGAGTCTCAAGTGAAGGAATTGGTTGAGCCTTTTGGAAAGCTTAAGACTTTTACTCTGATAAAGGACCCTGCCACGGGTACCTCGTTAGGCAATGCTCTATTCGAGTACGAGGACAGCAGTGTAGCAGCCCAAGCCATGGAAGGGCTGAATGGGCTTAGTATTGGTGGTATTCTTCTGTCGGTCCAACGCCAGCCCCCCGCCAGTGGAGCAGGTTTAGGAGCTTTTTCGAGTGCGATTACCAAATCTGACGAACAACCTAGTGCTGCTTTGAAAATGGTAAGGCATGAACTGAATCAGAGCGACTTTAAAAGTTTGATGCTGACAACAATATCTTGTCTTTTTTTGCTCAGACGAATATGGTTTCTATTGATGAGCTTAGAGATGATGACGAGTATGCTGATCTTGCCGAAGATGTAGAGGAGGAATGCAAGCGCTTTGGAAGTGTTGTCGGCATGGAGATTCCGCGTCCTAAGGTGTGTCTGCTGAGCATGTCTTAGTAAATTCTACCGATCAATCATTATCTTTTTTACTTGTCTGTTGTTAGGAAGGAGAAGATGTTCCTGGCTTAGGCTGCATCTACGTCCGCTTTGGAAAGCAAGAGGAAGCTGTGTCTGCTTTAAAGGTACGTTGACAAAGGGTAAAGCTTGATTTGTAACTTTCTGCTCACTTTTACTGCGTTTGAATATAGGCTTTGAATGGACGTAAGTTTGGTGGAAATATCGTAAACGTGACCTATTTCCCGGTGGACAAGTTCGAAAAAAATGAACTATCGTAAGCACACGAGACGCTGACTGGCATGCAAGAATTCTTTTTTTTCGTATTTAGTTTTTAGTGTGCCAAGAAGTTGAGAAGTCGACACATCATAAGTTGCGACGGACTCGTTATCAAGCTGCCATGATGGTGTATGAAGGTTTGTACGAAGAACGCCTCCAGGACGTAGCGCGCCCAGGCCTAACCGATAACGTTGCTGTCGCGATGTGTAGATCGAATCCAATGAACTTGGCTTTCTTACTTGTGTGCGCGTGGGCTTACGCCTCTGAAAGTCGTGTTCTTTACCTTTTGTTTATGTTATTGACTGATCCACTACTGTGCTATTATAGAGGTTTAACGCAACAAAAATCTCAGAGGAACCGTATGCCCAACTGATTTTCGACAGCATCGTCATCGGGTAAATCCCAAGAATGACGACTTTTGTTGCTCATCGATATGACTTGCGATGTTGAGCTTTTAAGGATTCGATGTTTATCTACATGAGGCCTTATCAAAGAAATTTTGACCAACGATTTGTCCTGATGGGCTTTGTCGAATTGTCTCCTCTTGATTTTAGCACGAATATATTATTTTCAATCCGATATCTTCAGAGCTAGCTGTCCCTTTTGTTCTGGCAGTCGCGACACGACACGCTTGGAAATACGGTGATAGTATCTGTACTTTTCCTGTGCGTAGTCGTAAAAGATTTCCCACAGACTAGCACCTTGTTCGTCAAAGTCATCGTCCCGATACACAGTTTGCTGTTGTCCTTCATTTTCCTTGCTGGTACTTCCATTCATAAATGTACAAGTAGGAGTAGGCGAGAACGCTGCTATTGGAGATGCAATATCGTCGTCCCAGCTCCCCGTTGATACGGGTACAAAGTTTAATATCTCTTCGACCATTTCTTGATAGTTGTCACGAGGAGCAAAACGCACGAAATCGTAGCCTCTTGAAGCATCTTGAAAAATTTCTGATGGCCAAATCGAGGGGAATGTACCATCTCCATAATCACGGCGTCGTCCATAGTAATCAAATAGCTCGCGCTGATTGTGTCGTCGCCTTTTGCCTCCATGCACAACGCGATCACACTACATTTTGACAGCACATTTCAAGATAACGTCTGGTGATGTCACATCAGGAATAAAAGGCGTACATGCTTGCAAAAGAATTCGGAGCACGTTGCGCACTCAAAGCTAGCACTTTCCGGTATATCTATACGAAATTAAGGCGTTGACATCCTTGAAAATCTATTAAAACTGTCATAGCCTTACCACATTGAGCGCAAGTTGGACGAGTAGTCAAAGCCAATAAATCACGTGGTAGACGCCAACGAATCGTGCCATTGACCTGATTCTGACATAATGATGTTAGTCGATAAAGCAACATACTTTTCTGACATCGTACATACAAAATAGAAAGGTGCGCCGATGCCAGCGCCGTGTTCGTTATTCGAGTCAAGAAGCTGTTTCCAGCGCGTGCGTTGCGTGATCCGTTCCATTCGAGTACGACAATATGCTTGATGTCGTCGCCAATTTGCCTGCACCAGAGTCGAAGCCCATTGTTTCATCTCTATAGCACGTTGTTGCATCATGAGCAATTCAAGAACTGTACTGCAAGCCCGTCGTCGCACAAGATATTTTTTAGTGATACGTTGAATAACTACAGCTGCCTCTGATTGCTGCTGGTTAAGGATTCGTCGGGATTCAGCTGCAATGATCCCTGCAAAGCGAGTTTGTCCTTTACGCCAATGACACTGCAGTAAATGTACTGCCTGTTTCTGTTTCTGGTGTTGCTTTGCTAACGCCAACAAGCCAGCAGCTTGTCGTCCACGTTGAGCGCGAAAGACTGACTGAAGCTTGATGATAGCCACTTCACGCTTAAGGAGTACATTGCGACGTCTTTCAGCAGTACGCAGAGCTTGTGCGCACCGAAACCGGGTTTGTATGCGCACTGCACAACGATATTGAAGTCCAAGGAAACACTGCTGTGCTTTCCGAAGACTCAAAACCAATTGTCGAGCCTTGTGACCACGATATCGACGTTGGATCTGAACACTGGCAGAATGCTCTTTTCTGGACTGCACAAGCTTCTGAATATGTAGAAGACGTAGCTTCTTACGACACTGTCGTCGTCGAAATATTCGTTGCAACTTGAGCACTGCTTGGGTCTTGTAAGCCAAATCACGTCGACATCCGGCCACAAGACATCGTGCATCACGTCCTGCTCTCATGGCTCGATATTGACGTTGCACCAGAACGGCAGCCGCTTCAACTTGCCTTTGGGTCAAGTTATGTGCCTCACTCTGTTTAAACCGAAGTTGTCGTGAAGCACGAAAATGCTGCTGAATTATCTTTGCATAATGCAGAACATTCATCCTGAGAACCAATGCATATCGCCTCGCCTGTCGCCCACGCCAAATGCTTTGTAGCTTACGAGCGACAGCATGTTGCAAAACCACTTGCCGTCGCTCAAAAAGTTCTCGTCTCGCTACACGAGTGCGAAAGAGATTCTACATCGATGAATGGAGTTCAAAATCCTAGGTGACGATAATTAGCATACAGAAATCGCGCGCACCTGGATGGTCGATGCAGCTGTCCATAAAGCACCAAATTCTGCAATGTATCGTCGATCTTTTGCCCGTTGGGCAGGAAAGATACCCATGTTGATAGTGCTTTCGGTTAAAGAACCCGAAGGTGGTATTTGCAGCACGCCGAAAGGCCACGATGAGCTTAAGCTCTGAAGCGCTCGAGCCGAAACTCGACAGCCATGCACACTAATGGTGAGCAATTTTGGGCACACACATGCAAGTCGTGCTATGGATTCTTCGGTGATAAAAGGACACTTTGCCAGCACCAAATGCGCCAGCTTTGGCCGCTGGAATGCATCGCAGAGTGCATTCAGTCCTGCGTCGGATAGTAAGCAACAGCCCGTGAGATCAAGTAGCTCGAGTTGATCTGCACGCGAAGCTGCAAGATCACGAAGTCCAGCATCTCCGACTCGTTTGCATCCGACAACAACAAGTTGGACGATGGCAGAACCATACTTTGCGATAGCGCGCAGCATGCGATCATCACATTGAAGCACTGCAGACAGATCGAGTCGCGCTAATTGCTGACACCCTTTCAGCACCGCCAAGACAGCTACAAGTGTGATATTCAAGCAACCCTGTAAGCTTAGTCGGTGCAACGCGGGACAGCCCATTCCAATCGCTACGAGTGCACGCTCTTGAAGTTGAAAGCAGCCGCTCAAGTTAAGATCGCGCAGCATTATACATTTGGATGCAATCGCACGGAGACCTTCCAGTCCAAAGTCACGGTTGCTGCCATCTGAAACAAGATATAAATTTGCTACATGCAACAACTCCAGCTTCGTGCAGCCTGCGGATAGATGACGCAAACCTACATTTGAAATGCCCTTAACACCGTTGATACGCAGAGATCGCAACTCGCGACAAGCAGTACCAACAGCCGCACATGTTGCATCGGTAAGTCCAATTACACCAGTCAGGTCCAGACGTGTAAGCTGCGTACATCGGGAAATCATGGACTGTACACCTACGTCCGTAAGAGCTCGACACCCCGCTAACAGAATGACGCCAAGACGCCGACATAATCCCAGTGCTGAGCACGACAAATCCGTAAAATGCTTGACACCTCGTACTCCGATGGGGCGGTCAAGCGCAATGTACTCAAGTTGACGACAGCTTTGTGCTATCCATACGACACCTTGGTCCGAAATCTTTAAACAGCCGCTCAGCTCTAGCTTCCTCAAAAGTGGACACTGTCGTGCCAGTGTTTTGATTATTTCATCTCCTACCTGAGAGCAGTAGGACAAGTCCAGATGTGTAAGCCTTGGAGCAGCGTAAAAACATCGACAAAGCACCCAATGTTCCAAATGCCAACAGCCCGCAAGACTAAGGTGGCTAAGTGAAGCCCCACAACGATCAACAAGAGCCGCTAGCCCTGCACCTCGCACTCGATAGAGATCAGACAAATTTAAACGCTCAAGATTGGGACAATATTCACCCAAAAGACGGAGTGATGTATCCGTAACGCGCCCAGCTCCACCAATGTCCAAATGCTTAAGCTTCGGGACAGCCGCTGCTATGACTGCTAATCCAACATCCGTGATAGCGTCTGATCCGCTCAGTAGCAATATTTCCGTCGGTTGATCTTCCACATTCAAACAGGACAACGACAGATTCTGAACTGCTTCCTCGCCCAGTGGGAACCGTTGTTGGCTTTGACCTACTATGCTCGCATCTTTTTGTTTAATCTTAGTGATGCGAGTATTGTGAGCTGCCAGCCGTCGCAATGTCTGGTCCGACACAATTACGCTCCAGCGACGCAAGTCCACACAAACACCTTGTAATAAATGCAAGGGAACATCTTCCAGCGTGAACTTTGAGGCATTAGTATTGATCTGTTCCAGGATATAATTTGATGTGTGCTTTGATGACTGAAATTCAATTTGAGCTGTCACATTTTTCTGAGAGAGATGTCGAACCGATTCTTCCTGGTTTGACAAGAGTTTAACAAGGATTGCTTCACTAAGATATGATGAAAGTTTTTGAAGCTTGACATTGCTCTTCTCTCTGCATATTCTCCTGCTGCTAGAGCTTCGCCGGATAGCTACTTGTGTTGCATTCGAAGTTATGTCTAAAACATCATCCCGTGTTTTGGGACGTCGGCCACTTTGAAATCCAGTCAGGCTAATGAGCAAAGTACAACAAATGAGTAAACGCGGAAAAATTTATGCATTATCACGTACGGGCTAAGCTGACGCGATCGCAACCTATGAACTTGACTAACGTGACTGGTCATCGTACAGCATCATAACCACGAATTGAAATGCTGACCTTATAAACTTCTCTGCCAAAAATAGCGAACAATGCATAAGTACAAAAAACGAAAATCAGAATCCTGAGATGAATAGATTCACTTACGACGATTTCAACATTCGTGATTAATTTGTGGTCGCAAGGCCTACTGCTTGTATACTGTTGTGCAGAGTCTTTTACTTGTGGTCAATAATTTCGATGTCGTGGTGAACTGTCAGGTTTCAATGTTTTCAAACCAACAAATTAACTAAACGCATCACGAAAGTGCAGGTTAAAACTCTCGTTTAGACAATAGCTAAATTTTTGAACTCCATTTCGTGTAGAGCTACATACACCTGTGCTTGTAGGCTGATTTACAAAAGGTGGCAGCACGCGAAATTCATTACTTCACGAGTCAATTGGAAATTTCGAGCTTCCTCGTTACTAACATACACGATTTGCAAGGAAAAACGATGGTCTGCGTTTTGATCCATCAGAACAACTGTAGCTAGTGGGCACGGAAGTCTGGATCGGTGTCTTGCTCTTGAGCTTTTTAAACGTGAGTAGTCGTAGAATACTGACGCGAAATGTTAATGAATGACTTTTTAAGTGTTCGTCGAACAATCAACGCTTCTTCAAGATTGACTGGATGCTGTGCTTCGAACACGCTAACACAAATTGCGACACATGATAATGAGCAATGTATTGACGTCTTTTGGTAGAACTTTAGTGAGTTAGACCATTAACGTAAGATCACTACGCTCTTTGTCGTTTTCGTTGTATACTCTTAATATCGCTAATTCGTAGTGAAGTGCTTGGCAAAATAACTCGTAGCCGTTATCATGCACTTCTAAATTAAGTCCATGACTTCCGCCCACCCGCTACAAACGAATCATCTTGACGCCATGCACAGTCTACGTCTTCAAAGCCTGCTTTTTCTAGCGCTTGTAATTGTTTAAACAATGCTAGCTGACCTACATGGTCGGCATACACTACGTGCCCACCGGGACACAGCGCTTTCCACACTGCTTGAAAAAGATGTTGGTATTTTTCCTCGACTGATAGTGAATCGTTTTTATCTTCGATAGCATAGTGCGCTGGCTTTTCTACGAGTACGTGGAAAGCTAGACAAGCCACCACCACTTCCACAGGCTCATCGCACAATTGTGTTGTCTGTTCGGATGTCACCACCTTCGTGACAAACTGCACACGTTGCTGTACTCCACTCTGTATTTTTTCTAGTCTTTGATTCGCCATCGCAAGCCGCTTCTCGGACGAGTCTACCAAGATAAGCTTAACTGTCGGATAAGCTTTCAGAATGGCAGCTGAAGCTCGACCACTACCTGCACAAAGGTCTAGAACTTTTTTACCTCCGCATGGAGGCAATGCCATTACCATCTCCGTAAGCATGGACTTAGCCAGTGGCAGCCGTCGTTCCAGCTGCAGATCGTACCAATGAGCGTCGCCCCAGAAGCCGCCACGGCGCTGCAGATTGATCAGCCAGCTTTCATTTGCATGAGGATCATCACCAGTCGCGAGAGTCTTTGAGGCATTAGGTGATGATGATTCGCTACTTGATTCGAATGATTTGTCGTCGGCCTCCGGCTTCCTCTGGTGCAATCCTTTGAACGATTTCATCTCTGAAAAATGTGATCTAAAATCCAAATTCTACTAATTAGAAACAATTATAAGCCATGATAAGTCATTTTCAGAAACAATGATGAGCCATGATCGATGAGGCTACATTTGAATTGGTCGTTTACGAAATCACTCTCTCTTTATTCGAGATCGACATTTTAAGCCTTGTAAGCCAAGTATGCTTCTAGCATATTGGTGGTGGCACTGTTGAAGCCCTTAACAGAAGCATTTCCCGTGCGCGACGCGTTTAGCTGGGTACGCACCTGCTTAGCAAGCACCTTTCCGAGCTCCACACCCCACTGATCAAAGCTGTTTAAGCCCCAAATCGCACCTTGAACCACCGTGCGGTGCTCGTACAAAGCCAATAGTTGACCAGTAGAGAACGCGTCCAGCTTCTTGAAGAGCAGCGATATTGATGGACGGTTGCCTGGGAAAAGCTTATGGTTTTGTAAGTTTTCAGGTACTCCTTCGGCCTTCAGATCTTCAATAGTTTTGCCACAGGCTAGAGCATCCGGCTGAGCAAAAAAGTTGGACATGAGCTCATCATGATTGGAAACGGGTTCATTTTCAAGCTGCACGGGGTTTTGCGACTCACAGAAGCCCAAGAAGTCGCACGGCACTACACGACCCTGGTGGATAAGTTGGTAAAACGAGTGCTGACCATTTGTGCCGGGCTCGCCGAAATTCACCTCGCCCGCCTCGAATGGAAGATCCCCACCTTCCATTGTCACGCGTTTTCCATTGCTTTCCATGTCCACTTGTTGAATGTGGGCAGAGAAACGCAATAGAGCTTGTGAATATGGCAGTAATGCACGGGAGCCGTGGCCCAAAAACGACGAATTCCATACGCCAAACAGACCCATTATCACTGGCAAGTTATTGCGCAGCGGGGTTTCCAACAAATGCTTATCCATGGCATGAGCACCAGCCAAGAAATGCTCGGTGACGTCATAGCCGTACTGCAAAGCCAAAGGCAGGATGCCAACAGCGCTCGTGACGCTATAGCGACCGCCCACCCAATCCCAAAAGCCAAAAATGTTGGCACGGTCGATACCAAATTGTTGTACTAGCGGCACAGCCGAGCTGGCTGCTACCATATGCTTTGCCACAGCATTCGCTTCACTGCTACCTTTCTTGGTAAGGTCGTTCACGAGCCACTTGCGTAGTGTACGGGCATTTAACATTGTTTCCGCGGTTGTAAAGGTCTTGGATACAATTACAACGAGAGTCTCCTCGGGATTCAAGCCACTCGTGGCACGGGCCACATCCACAGGGTCCACATTGGCCAAAAACCGGAGTTTGCGACCTTCCGCGGCGGCCTTGGCTACAGGCTCGTAGCGCAAAGCTTCGAATACAAACTCGGGACCAAGGTAGCTACCGCCAATACCGACAGAGATAACGTTTGTAATTTTTTTGCCCGTAGCACCCACAAAGTTCCCCCCACGGACACTGTCAGAGAAGGCACGGACAGCGTCCAAGACTTTGTGCACGTCAGGCACAACGTCATGGCCATCTACAAAGATCTTCTCCGTCTTGGGAGCACGTAGAGCCATGTGCATAACTGCACGATCCTCAGTGGCGTTTACGTGCTCACCCGACGCAATGGCATGTAGCTTTTTTTTTAGCTCAGCAGCCTCCGCCAGCTCGAACAACAGATCCACCGTTTTGGAAGTCGCATTCTGGCGCGAGAAGTCAAGATATATGTTTTGACATTCCGTGCGCATCATGGCATTACGTGCCTCATCTGCAAGAAGATCACGTAAGTGTGTGGCTTTTATCTCATTAGCATGCTCTGCTAGAGCTTTCCACGCGGGCGTGTCGTTAATCATATTAAAGCGTTGGTCTGGTTCAAGAAAGATAGGAATACTGGGCAAAACTTTTGGAGCTTCGGCACATTACTCTTTTATCTTTATTATATTACAGTAGAACCTGTCCAAATTAAACCTGTTTAATTCAAAACCCTCTCTAAATTTAACAAAAGATATAGACCCATGTTGGGCACCATACTTAAATTAAAATACCTATAGAATTTAAAAATTTGAATTTGATAGCACAGTCCCGACAATTTTCTTAACTAAATATCTCTATATAGCGTACGTAGAAACAAAAAGTCTGACGTATTCTGACTTAGAAAGAGAG